CTGCAAAGAAAAGGAAACATATGCGTTTCTGATTAAAACAAATTTTATACTATAATCAAAATAGCTGCTTATACTTCTCAAGTATATATCGTTTACAAAGCTAATTTGATTTAACATGTATATATTTATATTTTGACACAATAATTATATCTCCATACCTACAATTTTGTATGAAAATATAATTAACGCAGTATTAATACTATATGGCTGGCTATTGAGAGGATTAATAAACGGAAAATATCGCTATAATAATGTCGGCATTACACCACATTACTGAATAAAATAAAGTTCGAGTTTTGTCGTAAGCGAGTCATTACATCGGAATGTATATATGTATATTATATTCGAGTATAAAGTAGTTTCGAGATTATCACTCGTAGGATAACGCATTGCAACTGTCGTACGACAAAAATCAACTATAAAACGAAGTCGCGATAGGTTTACAGAGCACAACAATTAGGGATATATTACGCTACTGTGTATATATATATATATTTATATAAATACATCAAAAGAATTAGAGCAGGCATTAATGAAGCGTATTCAACCGTAATCCACACTCAGAGCGCTTAGACCTTTCTTCTTAATCGCCTCACCTACGGCGCGTTCTAGGAAGTCTTCCGGCTGATCACACTCGTATACTTTATCCGCATCCAACGCATTGCATCGACCCGTTTCTACATTGCTGTAGACCGTCCCGTAAGGAAAGTCCTCGAGTTCATACATACATTTGGACGAAAAGGAACAATCAACACCTATGCATTTACAGTAATGAGGCTGAAGAGGGAGCTCGGCCGACTGGACTAAGCCGTGATTACGGATCGCCATCGTCACCGCTGTGTCCTCCATGTCATTCCCTCTGTACGACATATGAAACCTGGAACCGACAGACTCTTCCTCCAAAGGATCAGATGGATGCATCATTCTGTAGTAAGCCAAAACTTCATTGATGCTATTATCCATGGATCCCTCCTCCTCTTGGAAAGCCTGCCATAACTTTAGCTTCTCTTCGATCTGTATTTGGTATATAATTTCGTCGTAATCGAGATTTCCCACGTTGCTAGCTGGTGTCTCTGTACTTGTGTGCTGTTCCTAGAAGAATAATTAATTATGTGTTTAGTAGAATATTTATTTTGCAATTGTCAGAAGTTTTCTATGCGCTAATTAGATTGTACTTTTAAATCTAGAGAAGTCCCCTTGCGAAGAAAACTTCTAATAGTTACAGAATAAATATTTTGCTGAACACGGTCAATTTCTTATAACAAATCATGATATATAATCGATAACTATTTCTCAGAGGCTGCGTTCCGATATTCATTGGCGGTACTGAAAATCTGTAATTTGCGTGCACATAGATTTTCAATACTGGCACGAATATCGAAATATAGCCATAATAATAACAATTCAAAATTCAATTGATACTGGTACACACTGGTGAATATTAAAATCATTGAACATTGATTTAATATGAGTGTAAAAGTGAATGCAAGTAGTATTTCGAATTAAAATATATATTTTAGCTAACAGCACAATAAAGTATATTGAGATTTTCATTGTTTAATTTGTTTCTACATTTATATTAAGCATATAATAATAATAAACACAGAATATATATGTGTATATGAATTTATTAAGTTCTCAATATAACCAATATGATAATTTAATAGAAATTTTTTTAATTTTTAGTCTTCATCTTTTCCTAGTTTTAAAAATTACAAAAAGATGAAGAATAAGTTGAACCAAAATTATAGTTAATCTATATTAGTAGAAAGGAGCATAAAAAAAGATCTGTTTCCATCAATGTATGTAGATTAGCTTTAATCTTTGATTTCTTAGAACTAGAAGATGAAAAGTAAATTAAATCAAGATTAAAGTTAATTAATACATTGGTAGTGGATATAAATAAAATAATACTGTAAAGTCACAGATACAGTCTGTTGACAAGCAGTCAACAAATCAAATTACTTCAGCAATTTTTTATCAATTAAGGTTGTAAATTAACTCATGTAACATGAATATCAATGGAATCAAATTACCGTGTCCGAACAAGCCTCGTTGGCTTTGGACAATTGCGTGCAGTGTCGCTTAGCCGGGAAGAAGGCGCACTCGTGCTCGTCCGCATCCGAATCCTCGTCGTCGCTCGCCACTATCTCTACCGCGCTACGCCAGAGCTTCTTCCTGGCGCGTTCCTTGCTGCTGGCACCCGAGAACGGCGGAAGAAGCAGTATCTCATGCTCGTCCATGTCCGCGCGTAACCCTTCGACATTCGACTCCACGACGTCGGTCGTCCCGTCGTTCTTGCGAGTCTCCGCCAGGGCGTCCCTTCCTGATGGGGCGTTCGCGCCCCGTCGACGACTTTTCTTTCTCCTCCTACCCTATACCTTCTTCTTCCCTTCGCTTTTTAACGTCACTTCAACGAGGGTGCATAAAAAATGATCGGAGAACTTGACCTGATCCCATCGACGACGATGATTATTTACAGCGAGAAGGAAGCTGGCAGGGCGCGTGAGGTATCGAGGAATTACGACGATGAATGACGACGATGACGTCGCGATTTCCGCCGTCGACCTGAAGATCCGTGAGTTGGTCGTCAATACGACAATCGTGGATGTCGGAGCCCGGACGACGCGACTCCGAGGCCGAGGGCTCGCGTATCGTCAGCGGGGAGGCTCGGCGTTTGACAGCTTCAAAATGGTGACCCACCACCGCGATCAGTTGAACGCAAAAAGGATGTAAAAACACTTGTACGTGGCGAGTCGCGAAGGTGGTGCGAAAACGCCCGAGAAAATTCGCGATTTGCGCGCGGAGAGTATTGCGGATGGACGGTCCCTTGCATCCCGACGCGAAATGTCACTCGGTCGACGCGTTCTTGAGCCACCGTGTGTCGAAGCGAGTTCCAAGATGGCGGCGAACATGTGTTCACTCACGTAGATCGGCGGAGACGACTCACTTGACACGACCGTCTGTCAAGGGAGCGATACTCGTTGGCGTGGCTCTCCCGACTCGGGATTTTTCCCCCCTTTTTTTTAAACGTTCACCCTCTGGAAATTGAGTGGCGAGTATTATGGCGATCTGCGGCGAATACATCCGCAGCCAGTTCCCAACGATAGACGACGACCTGTATCAATACGTGCAAGGTATGTTCCCGTGCCGCGGAATAACCTATGCGGCCAGATTCGCGGTTTGATATCCGGTGAACTATCCCAGCTTTGATACGCGTATCATTCCGCATGCAGGTATCCTAGACAGCTCCAAGGATGACTTCGAGGATGGCGACGAGGTGTACGAGGCGATCGGGCAGGTTCTGCACGAGGTCGAGGATAAATCAGAAAACGAGGTTAGGTCTGTAAATGTGTTCGCATTTGTCACTCTAATAATGAATTCGATCACTCGCGTTACATTAGATTAATGCAATTGAAAACTGCTATACATGGAATTAGCATAGTTAAGTTGTAAAAACATACATGAATATTTTTAACGATTAAATATCCAATAATGATATTGTTAAGTTATTTAATATCAATTTCAATATTTAAAATCAATTTTATTGTCAAAATGGATTATATTATATGCCACTGCAGATATTTTATGTCAGTTTTTGTAATACTTTGGATACTAAAGATATGTATGAGCATTATTCGAGTATTAATTGAATTGAATCACGTGTCATAGAAATTTCTTTATTATCTGTATATTAAAATTCAACCTAATAATAATTATTAATTACAAGTCATTTTTCAATGATTTAATTCAACCTTGATTCACATATCTTTAGATGCTTTATATAAAGCAGTGAATTCTAATCCTGTGTAGTACGAGTGACCGAATTTACCATAATTAACACTAATTAACAATATTGTTCTTATATTCGGAAGTTTTATCATGTTTTTCTTCATTTGCTGAATTAAAAAAGATTGTAAGATTCATCGCTTCTTGGTAGTAGATTGATTTATTATATCTTATTCTCTGTTTACAGACAAATATGCGTGAGGCTATTAGAAATATTGAAAGGTAGTTCAAACCATGATGATGACATAGACAGGAGAAAAAACGGCGTTAACAAAGTATTAAATGCTCCGGTGCACCTGGGCTCGTTGGCTGCTACCTTAGAGGCGCAAGTCGAGCAGATTAAGAGTATATGGGTTACAACTAGGGACGATGTAATGGTAATGTATAGTTGTATTTCATTTATTTTAAATAAAGAATATATCATGCTACTTGCATAGAGTGTTCTCATCTTTTATTGTGTTTTTATCTATTTGTATATTATTGGGTGATTTCCATTTAGTGACACAAATTGACACAGTCATCCTGTCTTTTTTAATATTCATTAAGTAACAAAGATGACTTGTGTTGACTTGTGTCATTCATTAATTTTACATTTAATTTACTTTATCTGCAATCTTTGGCACGAGTGAAATTTCACTTTTTAAGTTTCCAAAATAAAGAGGGGAGGGGGCAGAGTTCTTTCTTAAAATATCTTGTTAAAAAACTATTTGGTAATGTAATAAAAACGTTGAAAAGTGAGCCTGAATTTTTTTCATATTTAAAAAAAAATTTTTTGTAACGGTAAAAGAACTTGAGCTGAATTAATTATTTCTAGGCGTTATTTATATGTTAATATTGCTCGTTATTGTGACAGAAAGTAGATGCTAAGAAACTGGAGAAAGCCGAGGCCAAGTTGCAACAGAAACAGGAAAAACGAATCGTAAATGAGCAAGGATCGACTTCCCGTATTAACACTGCCAATAATGCGGCTGAAAGCGCCGCCAGTGCCAGTCAAATGACAAGTAAGAAAGATAGTCGGATGGAGACAAAAGGTGGGGTGAACAAAACCCAGGATATCAGAATAGAGAACTTCGATGTCGCTTACGGCGATAGAGTCTTGTTGCAAGGTGCTGACTTGACGCTTGCATTTGGTAGACGATACGGTCTGATTGGTAGAAACGGACTTGGCAAAACCACCTTGCTTCGAATGATATCAAGGTATTATGGCGATATGTCATCACTAGTTTCCCAGCAAACAAGCAGATGTCAAATACATTAAAAACATTAAATGTGTTAAAAACATCATTTTAATGTCAAATAACTTCAGCTTATTTTCTGGGAAATGATATCTCTAATTATTGCATATTAGTCCTGATTGATTTTAGCAAGCAGCTGAGAATACCATCGCACGTGCGAGTGTTGCACGTCGAGCAGGAAGTAGCCGGCGACGACACGTCCGCGCTCGAGTCCGTTCTGGAATGCGATCAGGAACGGAGCACGTTACTCAGTCAAGAGACGAAACTACAAGCAGCGATAGAAAAGGACGGTTCCAAGACAGGCGATGCGTTAGGTGAGGAATTAGCCCGGATATATGAGGCGATGCAGTTAGCTGAGGTCGACAAGGCGCCTGCTAGAGCAAGTGCAATCCTATCAGGACTTGGATTTTCCGTTGAAAAGCAGTCCTGGCCGACCAAAGCATTCTCTGGTGGCTGGCGGATGAGGCTCGCTCTCGCGAGGGCACTATTCTCCAAGCCGGACCTATTGCTACTTGACGAACCGACGAACATGCTTGATATTAAAGCAATATTATGGTTAGAAAAGTATCTACAAACGTGGCCGAAAACGTTACTCGTAGTGTCGCACGACCGAAAATTTTTAGACACTGTGAGTATGATGTATTTAGCTAAGAGAGATATGTTAATAATGGAATTTTAACTCTTTTGTCAGCAATAGAGGTCTTCCAAAAACAGAACAAATTTTGTTATTGTTCCAGATTACATAAAAAAATTTAGTCAAATTTTTAACTAGTTTCTATCATCATAGAAGTCAAATTGTATTTTATTTATTTTTTACAAATTTAAATTTATCTATTAGAATTTAAAATCATATATCAATGGTTTAAAGATATATTATCGATGAAAGATTAATGAAAGATTTAAAAAAAAATTCATTAAAAAATAAATTTTTTTTAAAGTTAATTGATGTAACGATTTAACAATTTTTTCACCATAAATATACATACTTATCCTTACCTCTTCAACAGGTACCCACCGATATTCTGTATTTGCGTGGGCAGAAAATAGAGCCGTATCGTGGCAATTATGAGCAATTTGTGAAAACGAAAGGCGAACGCGAGAGAAATCAACAACGAGAGTACGAGGCTCAACAGGCGAAGAGAGCGCATGTACAAGAATTTATCGATAGATTTAGATACAATGCTAATCGCGCGTCTAGTGTACAAAGCAAGATAAAGATGTTAGAGAAATTGTAAGTCTAACGATTTGATCACACGGATAATAATTCGTTAGTTTACGATCGAAATTTACTTTACATTTTTTTGTTTGTTATTCGACAGACCTGAATTAAAGCCAATGGAGAAGGAGAGCGAAGTGACCCTCAATTTCCCCGACGTTGAACCGCTAAGTCCGCCGATATTGCAACTCAATGAAGTCTCGTACAGTTATAACGGGACCGACATGGTGTTTAGCAATGTGAACCTTACTGCTAGTTTGCAATCGCGCATTTGTATCGTTGGAGAGAACGGTGCTGGTAAAACTACTCTCTTGAAAATAATCACAGGCGCGTTGAGCCCGACGCGGGGTACGGTGCATGTACATCGAAATCTGAAATTTGGATATTTCAGTCAGCACCATGTCGATCAACTGGACATGCGTGTTTGTCCTGTTGAATTGCTACAAACACATTTTCCCGGTACGTATTCGCGATACAAAACAGACACGAGACCCATTTAAGAAATTCAACACTGTGTTCGTTCTGATAGGTAAACCAATCGAGGAATATAGGCGAATGCTTGGAAGTTTCGGTATAAGCGGTAATTTAGCTTTACAAGTCATAAATTCTCTTTCGGGAGGGCAGAAGTCGAGGGTAGCGTTCGCCTTGATGTGTGCCGCAATGCCGAATTTCCTAGTGCTTGATGAACCTACGAATCATCTCGATATCGAATCGATCGAAGCGTTGGGTAAAGCCCTCAACAACTGCCAAGTGAGTATTACTATTTTTTATTGACGACTATCAATAAGACTCAATTTCAAAATTCTTCATTTCACATATCTGCAATTGTGTGTGTATAATTCAAACAATATTTTATTATTGCAGGCTGGTGTGATATTGGTGTCGCATGACGAACGTTTAATCCAAATGGTTTGTACAGAATTGTGGGTTTGCGGAGAAGGATCAGTTCGCTGTATCGAAGAAGGTTTCGACGAATATCGCAGAATTATTGAAAAGGAGCTTGAATTATAAAAAAAGTTAAGTTTTGTCTAATGTGATATTAATATCATCTTACGTTGTTCTATGAGTCTCTTTCACCAACCTTGGTTAAGTTAACCGACGGTTACACGGAGCTCATTTAGGACGAGTTTCACAATTATTACTCATTATTACTCGTTATTATTTAAAATAAGTTAAATCTCGATTAAAAGTTAATCACGAATTGTGAAACTGGGCCTAAATGAGCCTCA